CTGATGAAGTCGGTCAGAACCAACACGGCGGTGATCAGACGCCGAGTCCATCTGGTCACACTTTATACTATTAAGGTCTTAGAAGGAAGCTTGATGTGTTCTGTTCGTCCTGAACGCTGATAATCCTGAAACACAACACCTGAGCTCCAGATCACCGGCCTGGTGTCTGGACGTCAACACTCAGCCTCACTCATGTTGGGCTTTTTATTACAGAAGAGATAAACTGAAGAAAAACAAACAGTAGAACTTTAAAAAAAAGAAACTGTTAACATGAAAAAGTGTAAAAAGTTGAAAATAAGAGCAAATATCTATAAAATGATCATCGCTGTAGCTGAAATAAATCCAGCAGAACTTTATTATCAAATACTAAAAGAACAAATCAGTGTTTGTAAAAATAAAAATAAAGATTTTGCATGTTTGTTTGCTTTTTTTTTTTACAGTCAACAGATGAATTAATACCTTTGTCTGTGATTTTACCAGATATCTGGAACTTCACGAAACAGTGAAAATCTGTAAAAATTCTTATAAAAATGTACATCATTTGTCTTAAGGATAATGACAAATATCTGTAAAATAACTATATTTTTAGCTGCTTTAAATTTTACGTACAGTAAAACTAATTTTATGTTAACAAATGATTTTTGACGTTCTTACTGTTTGTTTTTCAGTTAATATATAATCAGTATTTTTATGTGCTTCTATTAGATATAATCTGTAATTTATTAAAACATGATTCATATTTATGTTTTGCTTAATACACTTTTTTTTAAATAATAAATATCTGTAAAAATAAAACTTTTTGCTGATTTAAAACCAGTAAAACAGCTTTTTAATTTTAATGTTAAGGAACAAATGACTACAGATGTTTTATGTTATTTACAGTGTTGGGCTGTTTTTTGTTCTTTTTTTTATAGTTAACTTAAAAATAAATACTTTGTCAGTGATTTTATAATTTACCAAAACAGAAAAAAAATGGAAAATTACAGTCAGTTATTGAGGAAATTATATTTGATTGAAACTAAATTGAGTCTGATGCTGTTGCTGTCGGTGTTAAACCTCCTGCACCGTCCGACTCTGCAGGTTTTTATGTTTCTGTGAAAATCATTTCACATGTTGACTTTATTTACTTTCTGTCTCCTTCGGCAGCAGAAGCAGAAGGACCGAGACAACGTCAGGAAGTCGTGGAGCAACCTGTCCCTCCCTCTGACTCCTCTTCTCAGTTTACCGCCCAGCAAACGCTCCTCCTCCCCGGGAAAGAGGAGCGGCAAAGTGACGGCGCCCCCTCCTGGCAGGTAGGACGGCAGCTCCTGCAGCACAACCTGCAGAGCCGGCTGTAGACGGAGCTCTGGATTAACCGGAGCACAGATAAGGTGTTCCAGCTGGACGGATAGATGGAGCTGAGCAGGAGCGTTCATGACATGTTTGTCAGACAAACCCTTAATGAAACATAAAACAGAGCATAGTGCTGCTGCATCCAGCTCATGTTTATTTGGGATCCAAAACTGAGTTCTGTAAAATATTTTGGCTGCATTTTGTGGATCTCATGTCTTCAGACCTGGAATTTTCCATTTTTCACCCTTTTCACACATGTGGGTCAGAATTAACAACGTATGTGGCTTATTTCCCCTCATGTGGGTAAATGTCCACATGAATCAATATGAAGCAGCTTATAGCTCTGCACATCCAGAACCAACATCTATAACCAACACTTAGAACCAGACCAACACCTAGAACCAACATCTAGACCAACATCTTGAATCAACATCTAGAATCAACATCTAGGACCAACATCTAGAACCAACACCTTGGACCAACGCCTTGGATCAACACCTAGAACCAACACCTAGAACCAACATCTAGACCAACATCTAGGACCAACACCTTGAACCAACACCTTGAACCAACACCTTGAACCAACACCTTGAACCAACACCTTGGACCAACACCTAGAACCAACATCTAGAATCAACATCTAGACCAACACCTAGAACCAACATCTAGAATCAACATCTAGACCAACATCTAGGACCAACACCTAGAACCAGACCAACACCTTGGATCAACATCTAGAATCAACATCTAAACTAACATCTAGAACCAACATCTAAACCAACACCTAGAACCAACGTCTAGAACCTGTGAACTCCAGGTTCTGGTTCCTACCAATGATCCACATCAACATTTAGTCTAAAGATCTAAAAACTGGAACCTTGTCTGGTCCAACTTCACCACATCAGGTTCTACTAATGCTAGAACCTCAACAGTTGGTGAAATGTGACCAAAGACTGGATTTTAGTAGAACCATGGATCCATCCATAGATAGACACTGACAGGAACTTTATGGATCAACACCAGCCTGCTTTTAAAATGTTTTCCATTCTGATGGAACTTTCTGTCTGAGTTAAAACCACGTTTCACGGCTGTTGGAGTTTTAGTTCTGGAGATACTGAAGCTTTAAAACGGCTTCACGGGTTTTTATAAGTAAAAAATACAAAAAGTCTAAAAACATGAATTTCTCAAGACTTCTACAAAACTCACTTTTTGATCCCAAATAACTCCTATAAACTCTGGACAGAACCTGAGATGATCTGACAGTACTTGGTCTGTCTTCGTTCTTCTTGGACTCCACTCTGTTTTATTTCCCCTCAGACCTCCTCAGAAGTCGGGTCGTCCTCCCACTCCGAAGCTGCTCAAGTCTCCGGGGGCAGAAGATCCTGGAAACCTTCGTCCGGTCAGGATCACGCCCGACAGCTCCGACCCGTCCACGCCCACCAGAACCCAGCAGGAGGATGAGGAGCAGGCCCTGAGTCCTCCTCTGCCTCGACCTCAGCCGCTGGGACAGAACAAAGCCTCGACCGAAGCAGCCGGCGGTCAGTAATCTGTTGTCACATCTGGAGGGCTCCAGCTAGTGACGAGCTTTCTATCCAATAAAATCTAAATGTTTGTTCTTCTCTAATGTAAATGTAAATAAAAGGACATTTGATGAAATAAAATCTTAAAGAACCAACTCCTCCACTGTTTGATAACGAGTCAGCTTGAAGCTAAATGTCCGTTCTGATGCCTTGCAGAGAGCGTGAGCAGCCCTCCGGCCCACAAGCCTTCAGCCGGAACCACAGATCCAGAGGAGGCCAGTAGGATCCTGGCCGAGAAGCGCCGCCTGGCCCGGGAGCAGAGGGAGAAGGAGGAGGAGCAGCGCCGGCAGCAGGAGGAGCAGGCCAGGTACAGCCATCACCAGGACGGTAGAGTCCAGAAGGTTCCTCTGCAGGTCTGACTGCCGTTCTTCATGTCTGCAGACTAGCCAAGGAGGAGATGGCCCGCCGTAAGGCCGAGGAGAGGGCCAAGAGGGAGGAGGAGGCCCAGCGCCAGGCCGAGGAGAGGAGGAGGAAGGAGGAGGAGGAGAGGAAGGCCGAGGAGGAGAAGCTCCAGAAGGAGAAGGAGGAGGCCGAGAAGCTCCAGAAACAGGTCAGATAACAAGTCTTCACACCACTGAACACTCAGCTATGGTCAGTTTAATGTTTGACAAGAGCATCGTGGGAGTTGAGCAGCAACGGATCATGACACCTCCATGGAGGTTCATGACCTCCAACCAGAGCTGATGCGTTTAAGACGAGCTAAACAATATATTCTATCACATTAACCGATAATGCCGACGGAAAGAGGAGCTGAACGCGTCCTTTTAATGTCGCTGTGAAGCACATTTGGTACATTTGTTTGTAGGTTTGACGTTATCTGGACTCGTCTGAGCATCATTAAACCAAAACGTGACTAAATGTGTGCTTTAATATTCATATGAACCAAATCATGTCCCAATCCAGTTCTTTGTGCCGCCGATCTGGGTCATTCAATGTTTAATATCTGCTGATGTCATTTCCCTCAAGAACACACAGATCACACTACTGTAGACCAGCTGTAGTACCTGGTTGTTCCACCAGGTGGAGCCCCTCACTGTTTAAGACCAGAGGAGGCGTCACTCAAACTACATCTCATGGTGGCAGCAGAGGAGCATTGTGGGAGTTTAGCAGCAACGGGACCATGAGGAGGTTCATGACCTCCAACCAGAGCTCACATATTAAACTAAGTCAGGATCAAACAGGACACGGTTTCACACAGCCAGCGTCGTACCTGTTGCTATGCCAACAAATACAAACTCTGCATTGTGAACTCATGTGTTTCAGAAAGAGGAGGAGGAGTGTCGGCAGCGGGAGGAAGCAGAGCGACTGAGGCAGGAGAGAGAGAAGCACTTCCAGAAAGAAGAAGCTGAACGTCTGGAGAGGAAGAAGGTAAACGTCACTAATGCCAGCAACACATTTACCGTAAATTGTGGACTATGGGCGCACCTGAATATAAGCTGCACCCGCTAACTTTAAAAAGAAAACCAGTTTTGTACATATACAGGCCGCACTTGTCTATAAGCTGCAGGTGTCCACGTTGGAACATGAGATATTTACACAGAAACATGTTTTTGCATCATTGCTTAAGCCGAAATGTTCGAAGTGTGTGAAAGAAATGATAGTTATAGCTTATAGTCCGGACATTACGGTACATAACAACACCATGTGCAGCTTCTTGAGGTTTTGTTTCTGAACCCGCAGCGTCTGGAGGAGATCATGAAGAGGACGAGGCGCTCAGACACGACAGAGAAGGTAACGGCCGGGTGGAAACAGGCTTCATACAAATACCCGACTCCAGTGTGTCTGAGTGGTAAATTCTCTTTTTTTTTTTCCTTCCTGTCTGCAGAAAGTCCGGAACGGAGACGAAGCAGGTACCGTTAGAGTTCCTACTCGCCTCTAAACTGTCCTCTGAACCAACACAGTCGTTCATGTCGGTTTCTGTCGTCCGCAGAGAGTCCAGCTCCGTCTGCAAAGACTCACAGCAGCAACGGACGCCAGCCGGACCAGAACCCCGACAGCACAGAGCAGAACCACCCCGACCAGAGGTGAGAACTTTATACACTGATGTGACCTGGATCAGTCTGTTAAGAGCCTCCTCCAGAACATCTGGTTCTATATCTGCAGTATCTTCATCTACTGACCAGAATTCTACCTTCAGACTGTGAATATTCCAGAGTTCCAGGTCCTTGAAGTCCACAGAGGAGGGTCCAGATTCATCACTTTAATGGACTTTTCCCATCATTTCTGAGCCTCAGAGCTTCATCACAGATCAGTTCTGAGGAGGTTCTGGGGGAACTTTGATCACAGGTGGTGTATTCTCTATTTACTGACCCTCACGTCCGCCCTCTGGTTCTTTGTCTCCAGGGAGAACGGGGAGTTTGAGGAGGTGATCGAGCTGCCTTCACATTCCAGGTTGTCTCCTCCAGAAGGAGAGGAGGACCAGCAGCAGCAGCAGCAGGAGGAGGACAGGGTTCCTGTGGTGGCCTTCACAGAGAACGGCCTCCTGAAGCCTCTGAGAGACGACCTGTCCGCCCAGCAGGGACCAGGTCCTCCTCTAACTTCTTCCCTTCTTCATTAGTGCTCCTCATATGTGTCCGTGAATGTCCGACCAGCCTGCTCAGGGAATCAGCCACAACATTAGCACCAGCTGGAGGTCCTTCACTGGTTGGTCCACAGACCTCCACGGGCCTGTTTGGCGTCTCTGTGGTCGTTTTGCGTCTTTATTTGGTCATTCTGCATCTCTTTATGATCAGTTTTATCCTCTTGTGGTCTTTCTGCGGCTCTTTGTGCTCATTTTTTTAATCTTTTCGTGATCATTTTGCATTTCTTGTTGTTGGTTTCTCATATCTCTGTGGCCACTTTGCACCTTTTTGAAGTTATTTTGCAGCCCTTTGTAGCATTTTTGCATCTTTTCGTGGTCAGTTTTTGTCGCTCTGTGCTCATTCTGCTCCTCATCGTAGTGAATTTGCCTCTCTTCTTGGTTTTTTTGACTCTCTGTGGTCGTTGTTCGTTTCTCATATCTCTGTTGCACCTTTTCGTAGTTATTTTGCGTCTTTTTGTGGTTGTTTTGCAGCTCCTTTAGCGTTTTTGTGTCTTTTTGTGGTCGTTTTTTTGTTGCTCTTTGCTCATTCTGCTCCTCTTTGTAGTCGTTTGGCCTCTCTTTGTGCTTTCGTGTCATTTCTGTGGTCATTTTGCATCATTTTTCCAGCTCAAACTTAACAAACTGTTCACACGCTGCCTCATATCTCACCTGCTGACGGTGGTTTTAATGTTGTGGCTGATGGTTTCCACAAGAGCATCACGTTTTCTCCAAACATTTTCCAACAGTCTCTGGTCCTGTGTGCTGAACTGTCTCGCTCTTCTTGTCCCGTCCAGACGTTGCCTGACGCCGTCGCAGGTCGTGATGCTTCCTCACCAGGAGGTCGGAGGTCAGACAGGTGGAGAAACGCGGAGCTGTTGGACTGAATCAAACCCAGAACTCTCAGCGCCACATTCCGTCTTCCTCCCCAAGACGGCGTCTCCAAAGACCTCCCCGAACCGTTAGCTCCCCCTCAGCAGACTCTCTGGGGACGAGCCGGCCGCCATGTTTGCTGCGAGCGCCGCCCCGATGTCCCGAAATCACAGGAGGACATCGAACGCCTCGTCGTCTGTGTGTGTGTGTGATTGTGAGCGTGAATGAGATAATCAGCTGCCGAGTCTTCAGCCGTGATACTTGAAGAGTTTTTTTTTTTTTGTTGCTGTAGAAACTGAGAATCAGCAGAACCGGTACGAGAGGCTCAGAGTTATATTAATGCATTTATTTCTCTTTAACTGGAACCTCGTGATTTCAGCATTTCTCCTGACGTGTGATCAGAGTTATAGGAAGGTGCATGAAGCTGTGCTGCAGAGTCCGATGATATATCCTGCTGCGTCTCCAGTGTTTGAAATAGTTGTCGGGTGACGGAGTATTCTAGGTTTAATCACGACGAAATGAAAACGCTGATCTCTCAGGCGACTGAGGATTAGGCTGTAAACTCCTGATTTCTGTTTAGTTTTATTTAATTGCTGTACAGATGAAATGTGATTCTTTGTCGTCGCCCTCCTGCTCTCTCCTTTCAGTTGTTTTTTTCATTTGGACCCCCGTCGGAGCGCCGCCCTGCTGGACGCTCCCGGTTTAATGTCGGCGGTTGACTTTTGTTTTGGCCGAGCGAAGACCAGCCGGCTTAAAAATGATTAACTGGTGATTAGATGATTGATTTGATTGAAGAAGAAATGCTGCTAATGTTGACGTTACTTTGCCTTACTGCATCGTAGAAGGAACGAGACGTGACGTTCTGACAACATCCTGTCACCAGATTACAGCTGATGGACGTTAGATGGAGGCAGGTGAAGCACGCTTTGTGCTTTTCACTCTGTTTGCATTCGGTTTTTGACTTTTGCACTTCATCTTCCTTTGCTGTCCTGCAGGACCAACGACATGCAATAAAAGTCAGCGGTCGGTTTCACAAAGACGCTTCAAACTGGCCTACAGACTTAGACTTTTCTGACATTTGAGTGCAACACAAGCTGGAGCCTGAGAACAGGAAACCTCAGCTGTTGGTAATACTGTGGAGGAGTTTTCTGAAACCACAGAAACAGGCTCTCGGCTGAACTTTCCCTGTTAAATGTCGTAAACTTGTGAAGGAAACATCAGTTTTCTGGGCAGTCAGCTGAGTTTTTCACTTTAGAAAGGTCAGGATTTACCCATAATTCAAGGCCAAACAGTCGTACGTCTTTGTGAAACCCTCCCCTGATGTCTCGGTTATCTGCTGCTATCGACGCGATAACTTGATCCTATAAATTGTGTATAAAATATTTTACTAAGAAGCGAGAAGCTTTGAGACTAACTGCAGACGAACGGTGCTGAAGGGAGGAGGTCTGTAAACCTGACATCTCTGCTGCAGCAGCTCTACTGTTTGGCAAATAAACCTTTTTGAATTGATTACCTACTCAGTGATTGTGTCTTTGCTTTTCTCTGCCCTGATTTAGGGAGAAGGAACTTTTAGAACGTCTTCTTCGCGGAGAGGGACGAGCGTTTACGAGTTTTAAACTTCCCTCCCGATGAATTCAAGAGTGTCTGTAACTCCACCAACGAACACAAACCAGAGCGAGACAGGAAATATAAACAACAGCTTTCAGCAACACACAGAGAATCAGAAATGTCCCTGAAATCATTCACATACAAGAGCTTCGTATCCTCGGATGTGAACGCCAGCAAGAGCCAAAACCTCTTTTAAAAAACACCACAAACAGACTAACACCCAAAGAGACACAAAACAACAAAGAGACGTGGATCAACTGTTGAAGACGGCGTTTCTCTTCTGGTCCCAAACCTTTGCCTGATGAAGGTCGAGCGCCGTTCGACGTGTGCAGGAGTCTGTTTTCTACTTTCTGGCCAAACGGCACAAAAACACCAGTTAGACTTCTTGTGAAACACGTTTGTAGATGTTTCGTACATTTATTTCAGCGTAAACCAACAAACAGACGATGATGGAAAATGCTTTTCAGTTAATACAGAAACGTAGTAAAGATCTTGTTTTTTTTACATGTCAGGAGAAAAAGTCCAGTTTGGGAAGACTGAGGAGAAAATATTTACATGAGAAGACAGGAAGCGACCAGAACCGGTCTCTATTCAGTGTTTCAGCACATCTGGAGCCCCTGAAACCGGGTCAACATGGACCCGTAGTCAAACAGTCTAAGAGCAGCACCAGGTCCAGTTCACCAGTAGAAGGTCTTGGTGAGGAAACCAGCAGCGGCGTTGAGCCAGCTCCCACTGGAGTCCTCCTTGGCTGTGGTTCTGGAGATGGCCCGGTCGGCCTTCTTCTCCGGACTCTCGTCCTCTTCCTCTGGGAGGTAGTCGGGCAGAGCCGAGTTCTGGGGCACCTCCAGTTCGGACGGGTTCAGAGGGACGTAGACCTGAACAGAACAGAGACGACTGATCATCCAAATACTGTAAGTTGATCTGCGACAGAACTTTTGAAAGACAC